GTCAAAAAGTTAGACGTCGACAATTTCTTAGATTGAGGTTTGGCCCCAACATTTATGAAAGCAGAGATGATAGACATTGTAAGATGTAAATTGAGGTGGCTAGTTGTATGAATGGGAACTCATTCTATAGAATCCAGAGCACTGAAAGAAACTTCTGAAAATATAGTAGCAGGTCTGTATCAGTATAAAAATTGTCAAGTTCCCATTTGTCATGGCCTTTCTTTAAACACGTAGGGGAATAGAACCTGTTTTTTTTCTAATAAAAACAAACACTTGTAGCTATACATCATCATAGGGAATGTGAGTGATAGGTAGCCTTCACATTCTAATGGCAAAGGCCCAATACCTATTTAACTCGATCATATAAGCTGAGAGATTTGGCGCCTAAAAGTATACTCGACTAAACATAAACCACCTGATGCATGAACTTTAGGCATCTTCAGGCCACCTCTCGAGCTGTTGTTGAAGGTTAGTTCATACTAAAACGATGCCTTTTTAAGGAGATCACAGCTTAACGCTATATGTAACCATTCAAAACGCATCGGTACACTTGTAGTTGTTATCGGTAGCTACCGAACCAAAATCTGCTAGCATAGGAAACCTGGCATAGAAATTATTATTTCAGTCCTAATTCATTAGTGTCACTCTACAAATCTTATGAAATCAAAGCACGCTAACCAGAAAAATAAATGTGAAGCTTTGGGTCCTATTGTTAAAAATTGCATATTGATACTTAGTAACTGAGCAAATTTATTTGTTTTCTAATTAACTCGAAACACCTCTGACAAACATTATTGTACATATAAAAATGATTGGAGATGCCAAGAGCCAGAACCAAGACTCTAAAAGGTTCAATTGAAGTACATGCATTATCTTTTCCTAGTTAATAAGATTAGAGTCTTGAAAGTGAAAAATGGCAGGCATGATACACATAACAAAATGCTTGTTCTATGTCTGAATGAGGTATACTACCGGAGCACAGATCAAAATGTGAAGCTTCATTATTTGAGCATACCATTTCGCTCCAGGTAGGTTTATAAAAATAAGATCGTCATGGTCAACTTAAATCACTTTGTGAGACCTAGCTGGAGGTGGCACGTCCTTCTGTGTTAGTCATTAGTCAATGATGATGATGGATCAGTTCACCCAAATTATTATCTTGGAAAAACTATAGTAGGATGTACAAATCGACATGCAAAGGAATGAAACAAGACCAAATCTAAACGACAATCTTGCTTGTCATTACCTAAGCAGTGTAGCAGTCAAATAATTGATAACGAAATAATTTGTGTACTATGCTTTAAAACATATCAGATCATACAGGAAAGGGCCAACAATTCATGGCTATAAGTTGTGAAGTGTAATTATGTGACACACATAACAAATTGCTTTATGTATGTCTGAATGAGGTATATTACTGGAGCGTGGAGCCAAATCTGAAGCTTCATTATTTGAGTGTATTATTTCGCTTCAGGTAGGTAAAAAATAAGATAATCATGATCAATCTGAATCATTTTGTGAGACCTAGCTGATGCAGGACCGTAACAATTCAATATTATTGTTTGAGCATGATCTAACCTGAATTTGGCTGTAATTTGTTGTAGAAAGCAGGTCTTTTTGCGGTAGTCAACGACAACGATCGATCGCCTCACCCAAAGTATCATCTAGATAAACTATAGTAGATGACGTACAAATCAGCCTGCAAAAGCATGAAACAAGGCTAAATACAAACAACGATCTCGCTCGTCAATACTTAAGCAATATAGCAGTCTAGCAATCAATATCGAAATTATACGTGCATTGTGCTTCGAAACTTATCAGATCATATGGGAGAATGTCAACAGTTTATCAGATCATATAAACTATGAACTTTTTATATAGATTCATAGTTTAAACCAACACGGCTGTGCATAGTCATTATTGGCACCGTAGTGAACCATCGAAACGGTCCAATTGGAATAGACTGCTTCTCAAGAAGATGGAAGCTAATTGCTTGATGATCCAATTTTTCATTCACAACAGCATGATGTAAGCAAGTGTTTTTATTGCAGATTTAGTTAATTTGGAGGAACAACAAAATGAGCTAATAATCTGAGCATCTAAAAAAATCTCCAAGCAAGGTTTCTACCAGGACCTGCAGTAATGACAATAGCTTAATCTATATTGGCCTTGCCATTGTAAAGGAACAACCAATCTTCAAATGAACTGCAACCAATCCATCGGTAGTTGTGAGTTTTAAACATTTGGTACTAAACGGAATGCATTATTGCTAGCTAAAAAGATATGATGATTATATATGAATTCGAATAGCATTTGCGGGTAGGGAAAAATATACCGCACCAAAGCGTGGCAAGGCAACAGTAGTGCCTTTGACTTTGTCCGCAGATGCCAATCCTGCAAAAAGATTTGTTACTTAACTCACTCCAAAACTATGAATCTTAACTCTCTAAGAAAAACTCAGGCCTTTGCAAAAAAAGCGCAGTACAAACGGCAAAGCACTATTCTCAATATTGAACATGTATGAAATCAAACTTGAACCCACCAAAATAAATACGAATCACAGATGAAACCATGAACTAACCAAATTGGGACAATATGATAGGAATGAACCCGAAAATATGTCTTTGAATCTTTTTACTGTCTTGCCCGGGCACTTGATGAACCTAAAAATATGGACAGATTTACATTGACCTTCATTAACATAATGAACTGATGTGTATGAAAAGAACTATAGAAATAATGTTTGTGGTCCAATAATAAAAAGCAAAGAACATGGAGACAATCATAGATAAGAGTCCCAACTTTTTTAAGCAAATGCAATGGACTAAATAGTTGATCGATTGGAGTTGAACCTCTTTTTTGTGTGTAGGACCAGTAATTATTGGAATTGCCTGGGCTTGACATTGCTTCTCATTCTCATAGTGTGAAATGTACTTAGACTCAAATATTTTAGAATTGTAGATGGTACCATATATTCGAACTTCAAAGAACCACTATATATACATATACCTTGTTTGAGCAGAGTAGCTAAAATGTAAAAAAGAGCTTATAGTCTGAGTTAGATGAAGCGTACCCTGGAAAACAAAGGAAGGAATATACACCTCTTTAACACTGGAAAACAAAGGAAGGAAAATACACCTCTTTAAGGAGCCTAGCTGAAATCTAAAAGAAATATGAGCCTAGTTGAAATCTGAAGGAAATATATAGAAATAATAACATTGTGTAACACGTAACTGTAAATAGCATTGTGAAAAGGAAAAGAAAACAAATAACAACAGAAGGAGGAGGCATGCAAGAAAGATACACAACATAAAAGTATTCATATTGTGCCTACACGGCACATCACAATTTATCTACATGTGAGCTGCATAGACAATAATAAATAGGCACGATAAGTTAAATTGTTAAGTAAACAAACAGACCTCTCAAATAGTGGAGGAATCATGAATCCAACCTGAATAAAATAGTTTGAAATAGTAATCGAATCATGAATCCAACCTACATGAATCCAACCTACATAAAACAGGTAGTCAACCTAAACAAATAGTACACAAAAATGGCTGCTATGGATTCATTGAACAAAACACACCGCATCCATCCAATCAAAGATCCCATAGCCGAAAACATTTAGGGTGACGTGGATGTGTGTTTCTGCAAGGATCTCTACGGTAAAGAGAGACAATGTATCTTCACCTAGTTCGCGTCGCAGGTCTCCCATGTAAAAAAGTAGTACAACTCAACTATACAAATTAACAAATCAAGACATACCTAGGGTTTCCTGTAGCACAACAAGACACGCGGAGGAGAGGGAGGAGGCGGCGGCGCTAGGAAGCAGCGATGCCGGCGGAATGGAGATGGGAGAGGCGCCACCAGGAGGCAGCTACGCAGGTGGGATGGAGGTGGGAGAGGCGCCACCCCGCTCGCGTGCAGCGGCGGCCGTTGGCGTGACCGCGGCGGGAGAGGCAGCGAGCAAAGAGACAGGGAGAGAGGAGGAGGAGGGCACGACGTGGGCGAAGGGAGGAAGAGGACGGCGTGGGTGGAGAGGAGGAGGCCGCTGCCACCGCCACCGCCCGTGCTGTCGGCGCCGTCGCCCGTGACAGCGTCCGTGGAGAGGGAGAAACGGATCGTGAGAGAGAGGAAGAGTAAAGAATAATATGGATAGAGAAGTAGAAGCCGTGTATATATTCGTTTCACCGGATTCAGATCAAAAGTTAAAGAAGCGAAGAGAAGCCGAAGAAAAGGTGAGAAGCAGGACGAGAAGCTACTTCGCTAGGAAGCCACTTTAATAAATCTAGACCGTCAATCGAAAATCCGATGGCCAAAAATATTTTGGACAACGTGGATGGTGCTTCCGCTCGAGGAGCAGGCCACCCTTGTCTGGGTAAATTACGAAATGGGCGTAATAATTCTCTTTTGTAAGTACAGAACAGGAATAACTTTAGTCCCACCTGTGCTGGCACATCCTTTTTACTTCGTTGTCACCAATTCGGTATCCATCTGTTTTCGTACTTCCATGTGCCTTTCCATCATTCATCAGCCTCAGGCCCTCCGCGATAATGCTGCGAGCGACTCGCCCTCGATCCTGTCTTCCATGTGTACCCATGACTGGAGCCTCTTCTGGTCTAGATGCAGAGACAGAACAGGCTTGTTTCTGTAACCTTTAATCATCGCACCCAGATGGCTGGATGTTGAAGATTAGTACATACTACTATTATCGTAATTCCACGCCATGACACTATATCACCATCAGTCCAGTAAGCCGCCCATCTGCATACTTTTATACTAATCACAATTACAAATGTAACAGAGAAAATATACCATCATACCGACCCCAAGAAACCCTTGTCTGCTTTGTACAGCTATATATCTTTTAACCTCTGTAGAAACTACCCAGTAACTTTTATCTACTGAGTTCTGACATTGGCTACACATGCTCAACAACTCTGCAAGAATCACAGGCCTCGAATCCGAACTATTCTACGCATCAAAAAAAATGATTCCTAGTCAGAGGAGCTGTCCTCGTCAGAGGAGCTGAGCTCCCTCCGCTGATCGTTCCGGCGCTGCGGCAGGGTGGTGCCGGCCGAGACGCGGAACGACTTGCCGGACCCCATCATCACTCTCTCCGGCGTCCTGCCGACGTCCCGGCACACGCGGTCCAGCGTCGCGAGGAAGTCGCTCACCACCATGAAGATCCTCAGCGGGTGAGGCTCCTCCTTGATGGCGTCGCCGTGGAAGTACTCCGTGGTCTCCTTGACACGCTGCAGCGCGCTCTCCCCGGCTGCCTTCACTGTCTCAATCTCCGCCTGAGCATGTCCGAGGAACGTGTCAATCGCCTCGAAGAACTTCTCGCTTGAGACCTGACCGGGATATGCCTGGTTGAGCTGAGAGACCAGCTTCACCTTCTCGAGGTCGGTTTCGAGCCTCGAGACGCTGCCCACCAGCGTGTCCATCTCCAAAGTGGCAGCACTCTTCACGTTTGAGAGCTCACAGCTGAGCCCTGCAAGCACTTTCAGGCCATCCTTCTTGAACTGTTCCTTACTGGTGCTACCGGGATTCACTGCTGCTGTTTGATCAGAACCGAAGCCTTCAGATCGAATGATCTCTTGAACTACGAAATGGAGCACTGTCGTTTTTCCGTCTGTCGACTTGATGTCTGCAAGCTTTAGAAGGGTGTCAAGTTTGAAGGCCCTCGCCTCGCCTCGATTAGTTCCATCGTTCATGCGGTTCCCAGTCTTGAGAACTGCATCTAGCAACTTCAAGAATAGCTTGCTGCTTCTTAAATCTGTACAAGCTGCCTGAAAATTTTCTGAAGAAATATTATGTTTTGATAATTGGCCTGAATTTGTGAAGGAACTTGTATGAAATCCATAAGGTGTTTATACTGTGTGCATAAATGCTACAAATACTAGAGCAAATATAAAGTTTAAAGCAGTCCACTTTGAATAATTACTAAAACATGTGTTAGCAATATAGAATGTGACAAATTTATTTCTAAAAAAGTGAATACGTGGTAAATTTACTTAAAAACAACTATATACTCCCTCCGTTCCAAATTATAGTTCACTTTGGCTTTGTCTTAAGTCAAATTTCTTAAACTTTGATCAAGTTTATAGAAAAAAAGTACAGCATATAGAACATCAAATTAGTTTCATTATGTCCTCCATTAAATGTGTTATGATAGAGCATTATTTGAACTTGTAGATGTAACATATTTTTCAAAAAAACTTAGTCAAAGTTAGAGAAGTTTGACTCAGGACAAAAGCTAAAGTGAACTATAATTTTAAACAGAGGAAGTAGTTTGTAGCAGAGAATTAAAATAAAAAAGTTCAAATCATCAATGACATTTACCTCTAGCGTTCCAAAAGATTTCTTTAAATAATTCACTTCAGTGCCAAAGTTCGCTCTGTACAACATTGCGTCTACTCTTTTGAAGGCAAAAGGAACATCAAGTACATCTTTCAGAAAGCGCTCTGCTGGATCAAGCTTTGTTATATCGCCATTATAATCTTTCAATTTCAGTTCTTCTTCTTTGGTCGGTGCCATCTTAGCTAGTGTTTCGTAGAACTCAGACCCCAAATCTCCATTTCCTGTTGAACAATTCAAATAGCATCAGCTAAAGGAACCAAAAGGCAGATGGCAACTGCAAACTGCGACCACAGCAACCACAGATTGACTTATGACAACTGAAAATATCAAGAGGACATCAACTGCAGATTGACTGTGCATGTCAATATCTGGAACAGGGTGATAATGTGCTATGCTGCCTTATCCCTATGACTCATAGACTATCAGTGTTAATGCACAGCATTTCCCATTTGTTGGTGATTTTTAACTATGTGGCTCGTGTATCATGTCAACTGTATATAAGGATATAACTCAGTACTGAAATGGTATCCTTGCAATCAAATTGAACTAACTGTATAGATGAGATATGTTGGTTGTGAACAATAAACAGGGGACATGAATTGAAGCTTGTTAGATCCAACAGATATAGCTAATCAATGTTTCCATGTGACTGCATAAGAAAACAACTGATTCATAGGCCCACTACCATGCCATGTACAGCAAAATCTTATTTTTACAAAAGGAAGTCCCTAACAAAATAAACTTGCAAGGTCATAACATCACTACTTAAATATTCGTCATCAAAAGGCTCATGGTGCTAATAATTCTGGTTTGTGTATGCCAGGTAAGGACTGCACCTAAGCATTACAATAAGAAGCAATTTGGGACAGATGTCACACAAATCATTTCTGGAACCAGTTATGGAGCTAATAATGTCTGAAGGTATACTGTCCATGGTGAAATAATTGCTAAAAAAGGACGTACCCAGTGCAGAGAGCTCCTGCTCTGTGCGGGGTCTCGGGAAGGGTGTTAGTGGCAAGCCTTACCCTCGCCTGTGTAATGCGAGGAGACCGCGACTCGAACCCAGGACCTTCCGGTCACAGGCAGTAAGACTCTACCGCTTGCACCAGGCCCGCCCTTCTGGTGAAATAATTGCTAAGAGTCCTTAAAATGCACACCCTACAGAGAAAATAAGATAATCTAGGAAATAAAGCATTATAATCATGGACGAAGTGGCCACCCGACCACTTATCTATCTTTTCTTTTGTGATTAACAACTCCTCTGTACTAATTAATTAATTTTGGTTGAGAATAAATTGAGAAGCTCCTACCCCAGACTGTGGCAGGAGTAAGTACAGAGGCAATAATTGAAGCTTCAATTACCGCATAACACATCAAATTATGTATGCCACAGCAAAGTTATTTTTTGTTGAGAAGAAATTGAGAAGCGCTATCTGGAATCATATCAAGATATATAATATATGTTCCTCTTTTTGATTGCTAGTCTATAAACTGCTATTTATGATGAGAATTGTTAGCAATAAAATAGTGGTTCAACCATTCTCAACCTCCTTGTGATCTCTGTAGCTAAAGGAATTATTAGCCTTGAATGTCAGATGACTCTCCAGGAAAAAAAATGAATAAATCATGACACATTCAACTAACAAGATCAATGCACTTGTTTATTATAAGAAGCACATCAACTAATCAACAATTCAAGATCAAGCAATAAAACACCTAAATTTGGTATGGATAACCCATGATATCAACATAATCATGAAATCAGTGAACCTACTGCAACAACTTTTATAAGAACCTGAGCTGGTTAGAGGTATGGGTGTAAAGTAAACCCCCACACCCAGGTTCAAGTCCACTTTAGATCACTTGCAAGAGAGAAGTTGACGAGCAGAGGATGGCCTCGAAATGGATGCAAGTTATAGGAAAAGCGAATGACAGTAAAGTCTATCAAACCTTCCATTTTCTTAAAAAGAAAAGGAATGCTGAAGTCTAAAGCAACTGAGGGTTCAACACTATGTATCAGTTGCCCAATTTAACACTTTTAACTACATCTGTTACCAAGTTTTAAATTGCATATCTGTAATACAACATAATCACAAGACAAAGAAGAAGCATTGAAGGTAAAGAACCTGCATCTTTGTGACAGATGCAGTTGGCCTCTCCAATGCATGTCCTAATATGCGTCCTGATCAAACTATGACCTACACGAAGTGACTTATGATGCTAAATCACTGACAGTTCACAAAAATATCCACACCAGCTAATCAAAACTTAACAACTAACTATTTGAGCAGATAAGATTAAAGTTTTATTTGGATGCAGTAATTGAAGCTGGACTATCAACAACAGAAGTTTATTTGGAACATATGGTGCCTTTCAAAGATTTAATAAAGGAGTAATAGTGTAAAAATGATCCTCGTTGGAACGCGTTGCATTTAGTCTATGTGATCATGAAAGTAACCCCTCACCAAAGAAATCTTGAATGTGACGATTGTGGTCAAAAAGCAGGACAGGTATAGGAGCCTTCACTATCAGCATACAACAACAACAACAACAACAACAACAACAAAGCCTTTAAGTCCCAAACAAGTTAGGGTAGGCTAGAGTTGAAACCCAGCAGAAGCCTTCACTATCAGCATACATCCAAACAAAAGAAAAGGTGCCTTATAGGGAACTAGGAGAGATTCCGTGGTATAGTAGGGGTTTTTTTAGGTAAGCAATACGATAGTTTTGCACTGCTGATAGTTATGTTGGCCTTCCAGGTATAATCTGTGTTTTTTTAGGGTTTCAAGGAGGGGGAGAGGTGGCGGCGGGGGTGCGACTCTACAAACTGGAGGATCCCTTATAACATATGAATTAATCTGGTGAACAGTGTGAAACGTATTTTGCAAACCTCATAGTCACAACAGGTCAACAGCAGCAGTATTCTGATCAACAAATAGGCACTAGAATGTCAATGGCATAGAACATATTTTCATTAACCTGAAATTTACCAATTTAAATATATATCCCAAGAGAAATTCCGCCAATTAATTAGCATTCCCTTTCTTACTAACCAACAACGGTGACCCTTTTTGGTAGTATTTTAAGAGTTAATAGTCAGCCATTTAAAAAAAAAAAGAGAGGCGCCAAATCATCTATTTGTGGCGATCAGGCGCTAGCGCGGGAGTGGCGCTAAGCACCTAGTTTTTGATTTTTTGAAAATTGGAAAAACTGTTCTTGAGATTTTCTGGGGACCAAACGGCAGCACCCAAATCACTTGTCAAGTTGCTGTGTGTACTTTGTTTAGCAGTAACCAGAATGTACTGTGGGGACATGTGGCCATTGGGATTGCACAAGAGCGCTATAGAAAATTCCAAGCTTCGCTGGGACCAGACTAGTATAGAATTATGATTGTAAAGAACTGAGAGCAAAAACTCACCGTGCATGAGTGCTCCAATCACATCAGCCGATGTCACATTGAGCACCTTGAGCATGATCGCAACATTCTGTAGCCGCTTCGGGTCGAGCAGCCGGTTCTCCTGCTTCCCGGCGCTTCCCCTCCTCGCCGCCTGATCCGAGTTCCCCGCGCCGCCGGAGTTGTTCAGGAACAAGCTCTCCATTGCCGCTTCGTTCACGCTGCACCAATCACCACGCAGTTCCCTGCTCAGTGCAGAACGATGGGGTGTTGTGGAAACATGAATGGAAGAGGGTCGCACCGGAACGAGTCGGAACTGTTGACCTGGTCCCAGACTGTGGTGCGGCCGGAGATGGCGCGGAGCTTGTCCCAGTGCAGCGGCTTCAGGCTTGGTGGCTTCGGCGGCCGCGCTCTCCCGCCTTGGCCATCCGGGTTCTCGCCTCCCCTGTCCTGAACAGAGGGGTCTGGGGAATTGGTTAGCGCCAAACTGGCGAGGACGGCCGGGGGTGGGGACTCCTCGGGCATCGGTCGCAGCAGCCTTTGCCTCGGTGGCGGTGGGGGCGGCGGTGGACGAGCAGGCCGTGGGGGGTTAGCTTGCGTCGGCGTCGGCGTGGGCGCGGGAGCAGGCGCGGGTGGTTGAGCCACAGCCACTGTTTGCTCCAGGGTGCTGCGGTGGCTCGTGCTCCGGCTGAACCAGGACTTGGCGGTCTTGGGCGCGGTGTAGTACGTGGCCTGGTCCTCCTCGTCGGAGGAATCCCCAGTGGTGGTCATCGGCGGCGTGGACGCTGGCGGAGGCGGGGGCTGTGCCGCCGGCCGCTTCAGCGGCGGCAGCGGGCGGAGGTCGGGGCTCGGCTGCTTCACGAGCGCGAGCGGGCGGAGGTCCGGGCTCGGCGGCCGATGCCGGCTCACCTCCACCATCGTCGTGAGCGGGTCGAGGTATATCGCGTCGGACGCCGTCGAGCTCGGCGGCGGCGACCGCTGGTGCCGCGCGCTGCTCCCCACGTCGCTGGCGACCCGCACGGCGACGGAGCCTGGCGGCGCCGACTTTACGGCGCGGAGGCCGTCGCCGCCCCCGCCCCCGCCGCCGCCTCCGTCGGAGCGTCGGCGCCACAGGAGGAAGCACGAGTAGAACGCCACCGCGAGCACGACGAGGCCCGTGGCGAGCGCGATCGCGACGGTGTTGGTGAGGCTGGTCGCGGACCGCCCGCCGCCCTTGGACGCCGACGCCGCCGCGGCCCCCACCGGCGGCGGCGGTGGAGGCGGTACGATCGAGTCATCGAACCCCGGCGGCGGCGTGGAATCGATGGGGAAAAACGGCTGGTGGAGAGAACGCCGCCAGAGACCAACGCCGTCCTCCGCCACCGCCACCGCCACCGCCGGCGACGACGACAGCAGCAGCCCAGCTACCACCGCCACAACGAGCTGCGCGCTCACAACCTCCGTTCCTCTCGTCATTGAACAGCTCTGGTAGAAAACAAAATACTACTCTAAAAGAAACGCTGAATTCTCCTCCGAAAAATTGAAAAAAATTATGTCGTTGCTTCGGTTTCTTTTTCTGGCGTGGCCTCCGGAAGGAGGACTAGGGACGCCGAGGAAGTTGGCTGCCTCACCGAAGTGGCAAACGAGTGTTCTACGCTCCACGGGGATAAAGAGAGCCAATGCTGCTCCTTTGAAGGACCAGCACACTGACATCTGGGCCCCGTGTTCCAGGCAACAAGCACGGCCCACGAGTCAGGGAATAACCGTACGAGGGTTGATTCGCGATGACACTGCTCGTTCTGGTTCAGGACTTCAGGTGCGGCCGTGCCGGGTGAAACGAGGAGCGAGCCGCCATTTCGGCGTGTTCAATCGGGTCGGTCACACCGAAGGACCAGCACCAGCAGGCTGCAGGCCCGGGGAACATCAATGCTGACCCAATGATACGTGGGACCCACCTGACAGGGCCACCCGCGTCAGCATCACAGGCGTCGCGTGGCGAAGCAGTAAATGAAGTGGCCGTTCGTGGACACGAGCGGCAGTAGACGTGGGGCACGACGGACCCACCGGAAATCTTACGGCCATCGGCACCTTCCCATCTACCTGCGCTGTTCTAGCCTGCTAGTTGACATGTCGCTGCCGGGTGGGACCGCCGAGAATAGGGCCACAATGTCAGTGGGTGACACGCTTTGTTGAGTGGTAGAACGAGCTGAGACACGATGGCTTTCTCGTCATGTTTCGTCGTCGTCTGCGGTGGGCGGAGGAGGACTGTGAGTGTGAGTGGTACAGTACAGTGTTCGTGCGTGTCAGTGAACTTATAGTGGGGTTAACTCGCAGGCCGTGTCGGGACGTGGGGGTGTGCACGTGACGTGGCGCGCCGCTGCGCTGCGTGCCGTGGCTAGAACTAGAACAGCGGTGGATGTGAACCTCGTGCTGTCGTGCAGAACTACAGAGAGCTGAAATCGAGCTCCAGAGCCTGTAGAACTGTAGAGAGCAAGAGCATGGCGCCTCTGGACTGAGATCGTCGTCGCGAATTTCCTTTTTCTGTTGGGACTTGGAGATGAATCTATCGCAACAATAACGGGTTGTTTTAGCCCTTTCCAATAACCAGATTTTTGCTCCTATTTACATTGTCTTATAGCTATATTTATAATATTTTATTACTATATTTATAATGATTTTTTCAGTGTAATTTATTGAACAGAGCGATGTAATTTAAGTATTTCTATGCATTACAAATCTTAAAAACATATATACCAAAATTTTCAGAAAAAATTATAAATTATTTCTATGAATTACAGAAATCAGAGAAATATATGTTAAATTTTGCAATAATGTCATATTAGATACAATTCATGTCATATCAAGTCCTTGTTTAGTTGGATACTAAATTCTAAAAAGTTGCTACAGTATCTATCACATCGAATGTTTACGGCGCGTATGGAGCATTAAATGTAGACGAAAAAAAAATTAATTGCACAGTTTGGTGGGAAATTGCGAGACAAACGTTTTGAGCCTAATTAGTCCATAATTAAACATTATTTTCAAATAAAAACAAACGTGCTACAGTAGCCCCAAAAAATCCAACTTTGACGAACTAAACGCGCGCTCAGATACAATTCACCTTAGCCCCTACCTGTCCCGCTTGCCTAGTGAACCGGGATCCTCTGCGCCACCCGTACACCCACTTACATGCCGCACTATCACAGAGGATCCTGGAAGGGAGGGCTACGCGGTAGCCATCACGGGGCACGCTGGGCGCGCAAGACGCTCCAAGCAGCGGCAGGGACGGGTCAAGGGGATGAAACAACCGGGTGCTCTACAGCAATTCCGTGGGAGATTCGTCGCCTCCTCCGCGGCTTCCACTACAACCACCGAATGCACACAGCACAGCGGCTGTGGGGGCAAGGCCGCTGGCCGGCCACGCACATCCGCGCACAGCTCGCCTGCGTGGATCGTGGACCGTGGTCGTCGAATCGACCGAGTGCCATGGCGACTTGACGAGGGACTGTATTATCTGACGGGAATCGAGGAGAAGTTTCCTCCAGATCGACTGCACAATTCAGTACTGTGACATGCTGTACAGACGACGACTTTGGGGGCAGAACCTCGGCAGTGCTCCTGTTGGAGAAGAATTTTGACCGAAACTAGCCTCAGAATGCTCAATTTTCCCCCTGGCGTCCATTGAGTCGAGGTACAGCGTGGTAGTACCAAACAGCAGAGATGAGCCAAACGTGTTCATGATTCGCGTGCAGCAGGATCGGAACAAAGCTCCGTCGCCTGTCTCTGGGCTCTCTTTCCACCCTCACATTCAGCTTTTTGACGCGCGGCATTTCGTCCGCTTCAGCCTTCCACGTACCCTTTTCTGGGCGTTCTCGGAGCAGAGCATAGGCATAGCCGCCCTCTGAAGCAAGCAAAGCACAACGCTGCTGCCGGAAAAGGCCGTCCCTCCCGTCCGGTGCACGCTCCCGCCCTGCGACACTTTTTTCTGCCCATGTGTGCGGATCCTTCTTCGGCGTGGAATCGAATGTACGCTGCGGGGGCGGAGCTTGGCAGTTGGTTACACTGTCACGTTGCTAAAGCGACCCTAAACTCTAGTCTATAGCCCTCTAGGTGCCCAGCCATATCATTCTCCAGACCATTAGCTCATGGAACAAGTGCTAGTACTACTACTAGGTCTTTGTGATCTTAACCAAGCGATCTAATCTAATTCTATGATCATAGTCAGCAAAATCTATGTTCCTACTTCCTACTATGTTTATGTTAACAACAATTCGATCTTACGTTTGACAACCTTGCATGGTACTACATCGGCATGATGGGGGTCGCTTTGCTGCTCCGACGCGGCGGTGACGTTCATGCCCCCCTGTTGTCAACGATCCTGTCGGCGTCACGACGCAGAAACAGAGCTACCGACAGGTCCATCGCCGTTGGCGTCGCCGGCCCGGAGCTGCGTGTGCGGCTGGCCTGGCATGTACCAGTAGCACCGACTACCGAGCACGGGTGGATGGTGACCGGTTCCGTTTGGTCCCGCGAGTCGCGCTCGGCGCAGCGAAGCCCGGTGGCCGGTGCAGGAGTTCCCCGAGTGCTGACCTGTTGCGGTGAGCCGGTGGCTCTTGTTCAGTTCCGGATGGACCAGTGGTCATTCAGAAAACTGAAGGCGGCATTTTTGTCACGTACGTATGGACTATGGACAACACATACGGCCCATACCATACGGCCATACGCTCGAGCCGCAGTAAACGGCTGCAGCCGCAGGCGAGTACGGGCTAGCATGTTGGCTGATGGCTGTGTCTGCAACTGCAAGGCTGCACGCGTCGCCGACAGCGTGTTTCACTAGTCTCTGTCTCAGACCATGAAAATTCAGAAGCATATATGCGTTGTACGCTTCATCACAACCATAATTCAGGTGGCCCTCTCTTATTTTCTCTAACGTTCATAGTCGTTCCGGTAACTGACAGGCCTAAGAATTTTACTCTGAGTATGTAATATTCTTCCATATACAATTTGGTACATAATTATACAATGGCGATATAGCCCGTTTTTAATTAAGAGGAGTGCATTACAAGTCAGTTATGAGAGAAAGATTTATAGCACAGATTATAAACCACTAAGATAGTAGTGAGTGACCTAAAATAAACATAGGAACAACAAAAAAGACAGAAGAAAGAGTGACCGCCTCAACACTCTAGACCTACAACTGTGCCTACGCAATAAAAGTAATCAACGCTAAGGTTGCCCACAACAAAGACAAAGCCGTGGTGGCAAAGCATTCACCCAAAGAAGACACATCAACATCCAGTAGCAACGGCGGCAAAGCATCCGCCAATAAATACCAAGCGACCATGGCGGCCAAACATCCGCCAAGAGGTGGGCCCGCACGCTCTCGGCAGCAAAGCATCTACCAGAGAGGAGACCAAAGAGCCAACCGCGGCAAATCATCTGCCAATGGTTCCATCGACGCCCAATAAGTATCCACCGAGGAAGAAACGAAGACACCTCCTACAGCAAAGCATCCGTAGAAGGGAGTGGCCATGACACCCTCGGCAGCTAAGTATCTAGCAACAATAGTGGCAAAGCATCCGTTGTACATAATCCATATATACAACCGATCGAGAGAAAAAACCAATTTGGTACATAATCCATATATACAATTTGGTACATAATCCATATACAATTTGGCTCCCTTATTACACGTCATAAATATTAGTATATTTTTATATATAGTAGAAAAATATTTGACTCTTCAAAAAGTAACATGTGCAGACGTGCAGTAATTCTCGAATGAGGAGGCAATGGCTTATGCTGTAATGCCCTAATGCCCTAATTGATATGATAATTCTACCTCGCCAGTGGAGCCGGCTAGTCTGCAAGAGAACCAGAGAAGCATCCTTTCTTGTGTAGTACCATTGCTCTCTGCTGGATTGGCAGTGGCTACTGATGTTATGTGTCCTCAGTCCTCACCTCATCGAAGCCACAAGTAAACACCCCATTAGGGGGTGGGTTGAGACGACTACTTGGAGGAGGAAACAGACCAGAAGTACCTTATCTATTTAACGGACAAGATATAGATAATATATATATATATATATATATAAATCAATCACATCTGTTGTAATCAATTAGAAAACCTGCCTATAAACCGATCATAGGCCTATCTTTAACCCTACTTCTAGACTATAAAAAAAAAGGTAGGGAGCCCCTAATCGACACTCAAATAGATCCTCAACCCATAAACACATAGTTGAATCCTTTACTTGCAACTCCACCCAATGCGCAGTGCACGGTGCACAAGCAATACAAAAAACCATGATACATTGGATGTAGGGCACTGCACCTTAAGTCTGAACCAATAAAAATAGAAATCTCATGCCTGAAACCAGTACAAATAGAAGCCCTATTGAAGTTTCTCTAATCCATATAGGATGGTTGCTTTCCAACACGTCATCATCACCCTAAGTTTACAATAACTCCCTCCGTCCCATAAGAGAGCGTCATTCTCATTCCCTATGAAGTCATATAATATTATATTTATAATTAGTATTATTAGATTAATCGTGAAATATATTTTTATAATAAACTTATTTATAGAGATAGCTATACTCTTTGTGCGAAGCCGAATCCTCTTCGTCTCTGAGGCCGGCGGCGGCGGCGGCCGCGCCGCCTGTTCATTCAGCTGGTTACTGGCATCAGCTGCCGGTGTCTCGGAGGTGGAGCCTCCGTCTCCGATTTTTTTACGGCGATGCTGTGTTACCGGACAGCTGACGTGTCAGATCAACACTGCGCAGCGATTTGGCACTAGCGAAGCGTTTTTTCGTGATCAGGTTCTGAAACAGCCGCGATACGCCCATCGTCAATTCGATCGGCAACTCACAACTCCCTGTTGACTTTTGTTACTATAACCGTCTGTCAAAAGAAAGAAAAAGAGGAAATTAGAATGCAGATAAACGGGGACTGTTGAATCAAATCCCATATACCAGTAGCTATCTGGATCTAGCAAGTATGATTCACGAGGAAGGAAGGAAGGGTACCTCAATAAGCAGTAGGAAACAGATTTCAGCCTGTAGAGGTGCCTTCAAAGACGAGATGGCACCACAAAAGCCTAACGAATATCGCATAAGGAATTTGCTTTTTCAATCAAACAATATCAAGATGAAGGTGAAGCAAATCTAACAAGCGACGGCCCTGAGGCGTGCGGTCGGAGTCTCGGAGAAGGGTAAGGGCCAGCGCGGTTCTCCACAACGACGGAGGAGGATGGCGGCAGGGAAGGGGAGCGTAGCAAGATGGGGATGGATTCTTCAGTTTTGCTGAACTTCCACGGCTGCACTCGGTGAACGACTCGGAGTACATTTTACAGCCGAACGCCTAATAAACCCCAGTCATAAACCCGCGGCCCTGGGCGGCGCGACGCGGGCGCGCGCCCGGGTCCAACCACGGCAGCACGACGCTATGCCGCCGCACGGTGTCACCCCCCTGCCCCACCAATGCTCCGTCCTCCTGCGGCGCCTCGGCGCGAGCCTCTCCCTGGCCTCCTCCTCCTTCCTCCGCGCGCTCCGCTGCCTCCACGCGCGCCTCCTCACCTCCGCGCTCCTCCACGCGCCGCCGCACCCGCACCTCACCCTCCGCCTCATCCACCTCTACACCCTCTCCCGCGACCTCCCCGCCGCCGCGACACTCTTCCGCGCCGACCCGTGCCCCGTCGCCGCCACTTCCCTCGTTGCCGCGTACGCCGCCGCGGGCCGCCTCCCCGCCGCTGTCTCCTTCTTCGACGCCGTCCCGCCGGCGCGCCGCGACACCGTCCTCCACAACGCCGTGATCTCCGCTTACGCCCGCGCGTCCCACGCCGCGCCCGCGGTCGCCGTGTTCCGATCCCTGCTCGCCTCGGGCTCCCTTCGGCCCGACGACTATTCGTTCACCGCGCTGCTGAGCGCCGCGGGCCACCTGCCCAACATGCATCTCTGTCCGGCACTGTGCGCAGCTGCATTGCTCGGTGCTCAAGTCCGGCGCCGGGGGTGCCTTGTCGGTGTCCAACGCGCTCATTGCGCTGTACGTGAAATGTGAATCGCCTGAGGCGACACGGGACGCACGGAAGGTGCTCGACGAAATGCCGGCTAAGGACGAGCTTACGTGGACTACTATGGTCGTTGGGTATGTTAGGAGAGGCGACGTTGGTGCTGCTAGATCAGTTTTCGAGGAGGTTGATGGGAAGTTTGATGTTGTGTGGAATGCCATGATCTCAGGGTATGTTCATTCAGGAATGGCTGTGGAGGCATTTGAGCTGTTTAGAAGGATGGTATTGGAAAGGGTGCCTCTTGATGAGTTCACATCTACTAGTGTTCTGAGTGCTTGTGCAAATGCTGGTTTCTTTGCGCATGGGAAATCCGTCCATGGTCAGATCTGCCTGTTAACAATGCCTTGGTGACCTTGTACTCGAAATGTGGGAATATTGCTGTTGCGAGAAGGATATTTGACAATGGGTCTGTTCGCTGGTTTGTGCTGGTGCTGGTTTGGGCTGGCTGGTGCTGGTTTTTTTTTAGAGGAAAACACTGTTGGCTGGCTGGTTTGGGCTGGCTGAAACCAACAAGCGAACAGGCTAAATATGAAATCGAAGGATGTCGTTTCTTGGAACACCATTTTGTCGGGGTATGTTGAGAGCAGCTGTTTGGACAAGGCAGTCGAGGTATTTGAGGAGATGCCATATAAAAATGAGTTGGCGCTTTGTGCGGAGAATCCAAGAATCTGAGGTCAGAGAGGCGTTGAAAAGGATGAAAGGGGGTAAGGCGATGGGACCACATGGTATCCCAATCGAGGTGTGGAGATGCCTCGGGGACATAGCTATAGTATGGCTAACCAAGCTGTTCAACCATATTTTTCGATCGAACAAGATGCCTGATGAGTGGAGGAGAAGTATATTGGTACCGATCTACAAGAATAAAGGGGATATTCAAAGTTGTACTAATTATCGGGGAATTAAGTTGATGAGCCATACTATGAAGCTATGGGAGAGAGTTATCGAGCATCGCTTGAGAGCAATAACGCGGGTCTCTGTGAACCAATTTGGTTTCATGCCCGAAAGGTCAACCATTGAAGCTATTTTCTTAATAAGACAAGTTATGGAGCGGTATAGGGAGAAGAAGAAGGACCTACACATGGTTTTTATTCACTTGGAGAAGGCTTATGATAAAATATCAAGGAATGTTATGTGGTGGGCTTTGGACAAACATAAAGTCCCAACGAAGTACGTCGGGCTCATTAAGGACATGTACAACAATGTTGTGACTAGAGTTCGAACAAGTGATGGAGACACGGATGACTTCCCGATTAGGATAGGACTACATCAAGGGTCAGCTTTGAGCCCTTATTTGTTTGCTTTAGTGATGGATGAGGTCACAAGAGGACATCCCTTGGTGTATGCTTTTCGCGGATGATGTAGTGCTAGTTGATGAAAGCCGGATAGGAGTGAATCAGAAACTTGAGTTATGGCGGAGACTTTGAGTCCAAAGGTTTTAGACTCAAGAATCTTGAAGTATATGGAGTTTGGAGGTCAGTCCAGGAATTTTATTAGTGGAGGACTGTTTGGAGTCAAAGGTTTTAGACTCAAAGCAGAACTAAAACCGAGTATATGAGATGTGACTTCAAGGTCAAGTAGTGCCTAGGAAGGATACCTTTCGATATTTAGGATCAATGCTACAAAAAAGGACGGGGACATTGATGAAGATGTTAGCCATAGAATCAAAGTTGGTGGATGAAGTGGCGGCAAACGTCCTGTGTCCTATGTGACAAAAGGGTACCACGGGCTAAAAGGCAAGTTTTATAGGACGGCGATTAGACCTCGCTATGTTGTATGGTGCGAATGTTGGCTCATTTAAAAGACGACATGTTCAACAGACTAAGTGTCGTGGAAATGCGTATGTTATGCGTTGATTTGCGGTCATACAAGAAGGGATCGAGTTCGAACGATGATATACGTGATAGATTAGGGTAGCGCCAATTGAAGAAAAGCTTGTCCAACACCGTTGAGATGGTTTGGACATGTGCAACGAGACCCCGAGGCACCGGTCTGTAGTGGAATCCTAAGCCAGGATAGTAACATGAAGAGAGGCAGAGGAAGACCGAAGTTGACTTAGTTAGAGGCAATAAAAGGAGACTTGAAAAGATGGAATATACCCAAAGACTTAGCCTTAGATAGGAGTGCTTGGAAGACAGTTATTCACGTGCCTGAACCTTGATTGCTTCTGATGGGTTTCAACTCTAGCCTACCCCAATTTGTTTGGGATTTAAAGGCTTTGTTGTTGTTGTTGTTGTTGTTGTCATGGATGGTGATGGTATCAGGATATGTGCATGGAGGGTTTGCTGAAGATGCATTTAAACTGTTTAACAGGATGAGGGCTGAGGATGTCAAGCCGTGTGACTACACCTATGCTGGCGCTATTTCTGCATGTGGTGAACTTGGGTCACTGAAGCATGGAAAGCAGCTCCATGGGCATCTTGTGCAGCTTGGTTTTGAGGGGAGCAATTCTGCAGGAAATGCACTCATTACCATGTATGCTAGATGTGGTGCAGTGAAAGAAGCTCATCTTATGTTCCTTGTGATGCCCAATATTGACTCTGTTTCGTGGAATGCTATGATTTCAGCCCTTGGGCAGCATGGACATGGAAGAGAGGCACTAGAACTCTTTGATCACATGGTTGCTGAAGGCATATATCCCGACAGGATCTCTTTCCTCACAGTATTGACAGCTTGTAATCATTCTGGTCTAGAGGATGAAGGTTTTCAATATTTCGAGTCCATGAAGAGGGACTTCGGCATTATACCTGGAGATCGATATGCGGCTGATTGATTTGCTCGGTCGGGCTGGACGGATTGGAGAAGCTAGAGACAACCTGATCAAGACTATGCCTTTTGAGCCTACCTCGTCCATTTGGGAAGCAATTCTTTCCGGTTGCCGGACTAGTGGAGATATGGAACTTGGTGCTCATGCTGCAGACCAGCTCTTTAAGATGACACCACAGCATGATGGTACATATATCCTTTTGTCTAACACTTACTCAGCTGCAGGATGTTGGGTAGATGCTGCCAGAGTAAGGAAGCTAATGTGTGATCGAGGGGTTAAGAAGGAACCTGGGTGCAGCTGGATAGAAGCTGGAAACAAAGTTCATGTGTTTCTCGTTGGTGATACAAAACATCCAGAAGCACATGAAGTTTACAAATTCCTTGAAATGGTTGGTGCCAAGATGAGAAAGCTCGGATATGTTCCTGATACAAAGGTTGTATGGCATGACATGGAGCCTCATCAGAAGGAACATATATTATTTGATAGTGAGAGACTGGCGGTTGGTTTTGGACTCCTAAAGTTGCCTCCTGGAGCTACGGTTACAGTTCTTAAGAACTTGAGAATATGTGATGATTGTCATGCTGCAATAATGTTCATGTCAAAAGCAGTCGGAAGGGAGATTGTTGTTAGGGACGTTAGGTGGTTTCACCATTTCAAGGATGGAGAATGTTCATGTGGTAACTATTGGTGAATACTTTTGTCATAGCATTGCATCTTCTAGCATATGTCCTCCAGGCCCCTGCGTGAACTTTATTTTTGAGCCAGCTTGGGTTCCAACTAAACAAGGATGCTTGAATTGGAATTCAGGGAGTGGACCAACTTCGATCTGAGAGACACGGGTTTGCACGGTGGCTCAGTCAAACTCAGGTCTTATTGTCAATCATTTAGTCATGTTTTGTCAATGACTTAAGATTGGCATGCTACATGCTACCCTTGATGCTGGGGTCGATGCTCTGCCAATGTTCATTTGTCAAAAATCCTTCCAAGTAAGCATCGGCACATTATTTATGCATATTCTACAACCAGTTTAGATGAGTCTGCAAATCTAGGTTAACATTTTGCTCCTTAGTTAACAATAAGAACTGATTATTGTATGCCTGGTGATTCCAGATCCATAATGTCATGGAATGATCTACTGAATGCCACAATGATGAACCATGGAATTACATCGTCAGCACAGATAGATGACAGAAAATGCACGAGGGGCAGGGACCAAATCACAACAGCTCTCTGAGACTATGAATGAGGTTTTTCAGTAGTTTCCTAACGTTGGATTAGTTGGAAACCCCTGGGCATTGGATCGTCTTCGAATTGAATGCTATCTCCTTGGCAATTTCATCTTTTCTTACAGATCAGATGTCACGGGCAAATTAATTTCCGAACAGAGAAGATGGCCAACATGCTGGAACTGCCCGACGAGGTAGTTTCAAAACTGTGCTCCCTTTCATAGTTACTTGATTGAAATACCCAAGATAATTACCCAGCGTGATTTTTGGACTGCAGACAGCAACAACTGATGCATATATAGGTTTATACAGAGGAGCTTTTTTTTTTGATATACAGAGGAGCCATTTGATCTTTACGTGATTTGGTGTTTCCATTAAATATCATTGGTGTGATCCATTGCCTCATAGTGAGCATATTCACCATGGGTGAGAATGACCACAACCAAGATAAAATCAGATCTCTATTAGGATTTCTTTTGCAAAATACTCGTCTTTCTTACCTGATGTAAACTTTTTCATGCACGTGTTTTTGTTCCCTATCAGATCACGCTCTTTACTTGGCTGGGCTTGTTGTTAGTGTTGTGAACAGACAGCTCTTTGCGAACCAACCCTTCTTCACAGGAACCGATCTGATCAAGACATTAGAATATCACATCCAACAAGCATGTCCGCTGGGCTAGAAATGCCTGCGGAAATGGAGTGGCCATCCAAACTGCCACCCATTCACCAATCACCATGTATATATTTAGTTATTTATTTACAATAGTTACTACAGTAACAGGTACGTGTGCCTCCAACCATGGGAGGGAATGAGGGATGGTCCTAGGCCGTGCCAATATGTCAACCACGGGCTGGGTACCCAGCTGATGCAACTGTCACTAACCAACAGAACGTCTTCGAATGAGGTGGGCCCTCGAACAAAACCCAACGTGAACCGACTAAACTTCGAAGTAATTCTTAACTATTCCCGCACAAATCATGCTGAACTTCAATATAAATCGTGCTGTCTGACGTTCCATACGCACAAATAGCAAATTGTTTAGGTGCACTATAACAGTAGTATAACTCCAGTATCTCAAAGTACACTATCATGAAGGCACAACCTCCAATGAAATGTGCCAATAATAATACGAGTAGTTTACACAGACAAAGGCCCAGAGAGAAAGAGACGCAGAATGGCTGTTGTCTTCCCACCCTTGTGACCTTGCTACTCGTCCAACATGACAGCATTCTTCCTTACCTGAAATGTTCAAAACATCAGATGTGTATTAGTATTATTCAGACTACAGTTGCTGCATACGTTATGCACCCTTCTCATTGCTTGTTTTTGTTTCGATGGCATTACTGCATTAGCAAAAGCATAGTAGTAAGGATTGTATACATGGCGAGGCCAACATGTAACCAAACACCACCCCAGCGAACCCACAGTAACATAAGGGAAAATATTACAAGGATTACTGTTAGATCTCCAGTTAGGATTCCTTATGCTGTCAGGGAACCAGGTGTCCAGGTATGAGGTATCCATAAAATTATTTTAATTATTATAGTTTGATGCTTACTAGGGGCTCTTGGTGGGTTTCAACTCTAGCCTACCTCAACTTGCTTGTGACTGACAGGCTTTGTTGTTGTTGTTGTTGTTGTTGTTGTTGTATTATAGTTTGATACTGAAGAAAAATAGGGTGACAAGGAGAGTTCTTCACATGAAGAGGACATTTCACATTAGCATTACCTGGGCTAGACGACGTTCCTTGTTTAATTTGAGGGCTCTTTCTTTTTCCTCTTCAGACCTAAAGATTTTCTGCAAGAGGTTTGGGTTGTTTGTGATCAGAAATCCATATATAATACTAAAAGCAAACCAAGAGAACAGGCAGATCAACATGAGAAACTTGAACATAAGAGAAGATGCTTGAGGTTTCAAGGATTCGAATCTGATCAGTTCATGCAAACAGACGGATCAAAACTTTATTTAAAGGAAAATGAGTTTTACTACATGGGGTACCCTAAAGCCAATAACAATAGCTAGCTTTTTGTGACTGAAATCACACATGAAATTGCCAATATAGCATTTTTCCTGTACCATTGTTTAAATTGCCTTATGGTCAGTAAGGAACCTAAAATAGGAAAATGAAAGCCTAAACCCAAAGAAGCCATTAGATTATCTTGCTAGCCTTTCTATCCAATTGTGACCTACTTTTCTAGATTTCTGTCCTGGTTATATAATCAGCTTTTACTGAAGGAATGAACTTTTGGGCATTGTATGACCAGTCTGCAGTAAAAGACTAGTGCGGTTAGCTTATACCCAGACTGGTATGGACTAATAAACAAAAATGTTCAACTTTGACAGACTTATAACTACCATTGCAACTTGCAACATCTATGTCACCGATTTATTACCTTATCAGTGGACGACAGGGTTTCAGCTTTGTCAACCTTAATGTCAAAGATATCCTGAAGAAGTCCATTCTCCTGTATACAGAGGAACTCAAAATTTGTCATACCATCCACAAACTACATAGTTTATAAATAACCATTCAGAAGACACTAACCTGGACATGCTTCAGAAAGCCTTTTCCCAGAAACCGCTTTAAGAAATTCAACTGATTAACAAGGAAAACAAATAGCTAATGAGAACATGAAAGAATATTTACATTTTGCAAGCCGAGGAGAAAAGAAAAAACAAGCACCTGGATTAATTCAGACCATGACGACACCCTTAAAACATAACGTTTTCCAGCAATCTTGATTGATTCTTCAGGGCAGTCACCATACTGCAAAAGGATGATCACCAATTAAGTGAAACAGAAACAAAAATTCGAAACTCTTAACTAGAGCAGATACAAACAAACCTTGACGAAATCTAAGATCCTTTGAAACAAGTCTCTTTGGTCAGTAAGGTTTTTCTTGTCTGCACCTTTCCCCCCAGCCTCAGCAGAGAGATTAGAGGCAAGACCTGATATTTTGGCTTTTAATGCTTGCATGTCCAAGAAAAGCTTGTTCTTAGAACCACCAGTTCCTCCCGTGTTAACATCGCCGTCCTCACAAGAAGAAACATCAAGCAGATTTAACTCAAAGCACAAAGCCAATGCTTCACCAGCAGCCATTCGAACAGCACGATCATCTGCTTCCAAAAGAGTAGAAAGAAATGCAATGGGCCTAGCAAGTAGAAGAAAGGTAAGTTAGGTATAAATCCATCGATAGGTTAGTGTTCACAAACATACAAAAGGAGAAAAACAGAGAACACTAACTCTTTCCAGCTATCAGTATTTATCCTCCATGAACCAATAGTAGTCAGGAGAAACGTCCATGCAGATAGAGCAGCTGCTAACACAGGAGGCTTAGGTTTCCGAACAGTTCCCACCTGCAGAGACTACAACCATGTTCAGTCATCATAGAAAACTGGATGCTGCTCCTTTCAACATTAGCTTGCAAAATATGATAACAAGTAAATGGAAAACAGTACATTTGAACCAGACTTTGGATGAATCACATCCCACATGGCTTTCAAAGATAACTCTGTTTCAGCCAGATCAGTTGCGCCAACAAATGTGATGACAGCCAAACAATCAAGCGCCTGCAGAAGGTCAGTTTAGATTCCCTTCACTGGGAGTGCAGATAAGGATTGGAAGTCAAATGACAACAACAAAAAATACATACAGATATCATCTTTGATGCATCAGACCAAGCTTGAAGTACCCTACAAAGTTGGGGATGTGACTCCTCCATTATTTCATGTGAACTGCTCCCAGCACCGAGTGTAATAGCCAATAACCCTGATGACCCAAAAGAAAACGGCCAAACACAGTGTCATAAAACAACAGTATTTCCTTTGAACTACTTAATGTGAACAGGGACAGTATATATACATACCAATGGCATGAGATGCCAGAAAAAACTCCTTAGTAGATCCCTTTTTGACGGAATTATTGAATTGACTCAGCAGTGTGGCATACCTTCAAAAGCATAAACACACAATGATTATACATTTCACCAAGTGGATTCAGATAAAACATACCATACCTGAAAGAGAGCTAGCGTCATAGCATATAATGTAACCATGTGACACATGTGAAGGTTGTTGAGTTCATGGTAATTCAAAACATGACTTACAGGAAAATGCAAAAAAAAAAAATGCAACATTTCATAATTTAAGGCTCATGGCTCACTAACAGAATATAACATACCTATTCTCCACAAGGCCATGGAGCATAAAACTTTCGAAGGCATCAACCAGTTTAACCAATGCTGCCTCTCTTGTAGACCCCCTAAAAGAGAATACATACAGTAACATCAGTGCAATGCATAGTTGTTAGTTTAGGAAAACACAATGAGCATTAATGACCATGATGGCATGATAGATTAGTGTTAATTGGTGATGAACACACAAACACCATTAATAAACGATGATAAACTATTGTTAGTAGGATATGAAAACACCGACAGCATTAGTAATATGAAAACACCGACAGCATCAGTAACATGATTGATTACTGTTATTAAGTGAAACATAACGATTCAGCAGCCAGGTACATCGCCAGAAATGACATCAGGAGGCAAATACACAAAATACATGCCTCCTCGTCCCTGTTACCCTATCAACATTATTGCACAAATAATAAAAGGTCAGCTGAACATACAACTTTGCCAATTGGAAAGTAATTTTCCAATCTTTGACTATTCAAATTTAGTGTCCATTTAAGTATCTGACGCCAAAGCAATAGGATTCCCTCCAGAACTTATTCAGTGTCCATTCTGCTAATATTCTATAGGTTCCATGAAAGTACAATGAAAGCTAAAGGAATTCTGAGAGGCCAATTTAACCAAAAAAACATGAAGCATACTCTAATGTCATAAACTGCTTCCTATCATTTTCCAGCCAGCGCCACCAATCCACCATGAATGAGGGCCAAGACGACCTTCAACCACAGTGAGAACACTATCCACTACTGAATAACCCTAAAATAACAAGTTACAAGTTATAGCACAGTGCATGCTTCGTTTACTAGTCATCAGATTATCATAGGTCCGGACCTTGCAAAGTAAAACAAAAACAATAGACAACTGCAATTTAAGTACAGCAAACTATAGTCCAATACGAGTCCGTGCATTAAGTAGGGAACATCATGCAAACAAACAAGAAAACCGTATTGCCCGGCCAACTACAATTGGGTCAACCTGCTAATCTATGCCTACACACAAGTTAAGTACAGCCAACGAAATCGAAGTAAACAGCACCCGAACAGAAATGCCTACTTCACCATCGGCGCCCGAACAGCAAACAGCCAAAACGATATGCTAGAGAATCCCAGAAACGAAAAGGGTGACCTGACCTCTTCTCGTAGAGCGCGTCGATGTACTTGTCGAGGACGAACTCCTGCGAGTTGACGTGCTCGGTGGCGTACGAGATGGAGAGATCCGACAGCGCGGTGGACGAGGAGCCGACGCTGTCGGCGTCGCTGCTGTCGAGCAGGTCGTCCCCGCCGCCGCGGGCCTTGCTCTTCTTGCCTGCACAAACCCAAGCCCCCAAACCACCAATCAGAAATTCAGAACCAACCACTACACCACCCATCGATCAAAAACAAGAAGACACCACCGATCAATCGGCGTCAAGAGAAACTCACTCTTCCCCATGGCAACACCGGTCAGGGACAGAACCAGAACTCGGAAGCTCCCAGGAACCGCAAGACAAATCGTGGGAGCAGAATCAGAGCCGCAATCACAAATAACGGCGCGAGAAGTGCGAGGGAAGAAAGAGAGCGGGATCAGGAGCAGGTGCGATGGACGCGGAGGGAGGAGAAGGGACCGGCGGGGGCGGCGAGATCGGGACTGGGGCGGCGCTGGTCGGCGCAGGGACAGGGGTCGGAGAAGCAGAAGCAGGGGGCGTTCCTCTCGAGTGACTCGCGGAGGCGCAGCGCTGCCATGTGAGGAAATCGCGGCGAGGGGGAGGGAGCGGGTTGGGAAGTGGTTTCAGGTTTCTCTCGCGCTCGCCTTTGCTTGAGGAGAGGAGACGAGGTGGGGGGCGGCGTCGCTGGCGTATAAACGAGCGGTAGTGGGCGGTTCCAAGGAAGAAGCCTGGAAGGGATAGGAACGGGAGAGGCCCGGAATGGAAACTAGGGCACGCGGGTATTTTTTATTTCAGCAGCTCGTTTTTTCCTTTTTGTTTTTGTGTGTGTACCTTTTCTTTCTCGTTTTGATTTTCTTCACGGCTTTTCCTCCTGATCCAGAAAGGAAACTATATGGTTCTTTATCATCCTTCAGCCGCGTCCTTTTTGAAGAACGATGTCTTCTAATTTATAGACATATATAAATTAATTAAAACCTTTGTGATTCTAGTTAAACCGCTTAATTGAAATGGCACTAGTGTGAAAGGAGTAGTGTATGATAAATTCAGTTAGGGATTAGCAGTGTGCACTTATATTTTAGAATTTTAAGGTGTGTATAAATTCTCTCAATGACCTTTGGACAAAAAAAAAAAAAAATATATATTGTTATCGTTTAGCTATAGGTGTGCACCCTCTACATTAAAACTTTAGGCGTATTTACATTATTAATCAAATGGTCAGGATATTGTAAAGTATGAAAACCCATATATCTTTTAAGAAGACATTGATTTTATAACCATCGATATCTTTTAAGAAGACATTGATTTTATAGCAATATCTAACTTCAAGAAAAGGAACAAATCGTAATATCTACTATATAAAAAAGGAACGATCAAAGCATTTACTAAACAGAGCAGCGTGTGAGGTATATCTATCTATATCTATGCATCTATAAAAATTCTAATAGCACTCTATCTATCTGAACATAGAAGCCATTCAACGCCAGCAACATTCATACAAGCTATCCATATTAGTAAGGTATCTATGTACACTAACATTTGTCTACGACAGTATACCACACCGTTCACTAAAATCTATTCATAATAATTTATCTCTCATGCAAGTAAGTAAAAGTAGTCTATTTTTTTTAAGAATTATACAGTACAACGCAGATGTCTATAACATGCACGCATATTCATCCCTATGAATACACGTACGCAAAACCTTACCCCTATGAGCACCTCCGAAAGACTAAGCCGGCAGATCTTGAGATTCACGAAGTCACCACAGGCGCCTCGCTGTCGATGGGGACGTCGCCTACCATTGAAAGCATAGCGCCGTTCCTAGAATAAATTCAAGAAAATACATACACCCGTGTTAAATCGAGAACTTAAACGCGGATGGACAAGTTCCACCGAAAAAAAACGTAATCAATCTGCGGCAATGCACGTACATCTTTCTAATTTTAATTCACGACCTTGTCATGGTTGATTTACGAGAGGATTTGGCTTAGCGTGTGCTCGGAATGTCCCCGCCGCCATGCCGTGTATAGCTTGTTATCTCTCTTATCTTCAGCAGCCAAACTAGGAAAATGACTTTCTAAATCTCACTATCTAAATCATTATTTGGAGAGCCATTTACATAAAAATTACTTTTTCTATATTTTTTTACTTTCCAATAGTTTTTCTATATCTCATACGTACTCTAGAGAGTATTCTCGTCTTTTATTTTTTGCTAGCGAAAAATCCGAAATAGAAGATGATTATACTTATATGATTATTTAAGGAAATTGTTGGAGGATAGTTTTTTATTAAAATCTCTATTTATAACATTTAAGAAGGATATGAATAGTCTCTTATAGATGCTCTAACCAAATTAAGCAAGATCAGTTGCGAGCTAAAAAAAAAGGCAGCGTTTTACTTGGACGAAACAACCTCCTGCGTCGTATATTCGCATCTGACCCGAAACTGCACAGCAGAAGATACCCCTGGGCCGAATCGCGTTCGCCGAATCACCCCGGATATTCGCTTCAGGGTCGAGCCCACCGGACACCTGCAGTGCAAGTGGGCACGGGCGCACGGCCATCGGGCCATGTCTCCAGACACTCCAGGGCTCCACCACCCGGCTCGCGCCATCTGCCCACCCGGCTGGCGGCTGCTCCACGCGGAGCTGCTCTGGAAGGCCGGAGCCCGGAATACCGCGGCCGCCGGCACGGCAGGTGCGCAGCGGCAGCGCAGTGACGATCGGCGGCGCGCGAGTGCGCGTCCACCGCGTGGCACGGTTGCTTGGCAACTTGTCAGCCGCTGGTTCCGCCGCGTGCCGTGCGTCTGGGCCGATCCCGGGGCCAAAGAGGTGCACCATGGTTCCATGGGCTTCCACTTCCACCACGTTCGCGACGGACGTCACGACTCACGAGGGACGTCTTTGCCACACGCCGACACGCGCCATCGCGTGCGTGTCGAATTTGGGTTCGGAAACCACACCATCCACGCGCCATCAACCAGGCCGCAGAAGAGACATTTCGTTACACAACAGAGAAGCACCTACGCGCACACGGTCCGATTTTTTTTTCGGCCTTTTTTTTTGAAAGATTTTTCACAAATACGTGCTGTCAGTATCTTTAAAAAAAATAGACTCTGACTTCGACACCGTGACAATTAGTTCTGAGCTTACATGTTTCGGCGTCAATTGCTTTGGCGCCGAGCTTCAGGTCATTCTCTGAAGCAGCGCGGGCGTGGCATGAGTTCGGCGCCCCGGATGTTGACGCCGACCTCGACCTCGCGGCACCGATTACTACCTCGCCGCGGCCCGTCCCTTTCCCCCTTCCGCGTCCCCGTCGCCGCGATCTGGCCGAAGCAAGTTCCCACGCACTCGTTCCTATCCCTTCGCGCCGGCGTGGCTCGCGCAGGGAGCGGAGCTGAGCCACCGCTATCAGATTGCCAGGCCATGATGATTTACCGGTCGCATTCTCACCAACCACCCTTCTCGTCGCCTCGTAGGCTACCAGATCCGCCGCTCGCACCTTTGAATATTTATTTATTGGGGAGGCCGGAGGCGGAGGCCTGGGTTGGCGAGGGGCTCGGATCAGCAGCAGCCGATCAGGAGACCGGCCGGCCATGGAGGAGGGAGGCGAGCAAACGAGTCTTCTGGTCAAGGTACGGCGAACCTGCTGTCGATTAGCCTCCGCCGAATCGGAGCTAGTTCTTGCTTGCTTGCCGCGGAATGGTTTGTTTGCTGGGTTCGGGGATCACGCTCGCCAGGAGCTAAATGCGGGCGGTTTGGATATCCAAGTTTCATTTTTGAGTTTCACAAAGGGGCTATGAGTATAGAACTGTTGAACAAGCTGACGGGCATCTGATCGTGACATGCATGCATAGTGAATTTCTCGTGTCGTGAATATCTATTTGTGTTACTCTGTCGTTGGAAAAACGTTGAATTCTGTAGATCGTGCAGTATGCACAGATGTGTAGTATACATGGAAAAACGTTGGGACAATTATAGTTTGGGTTCAGGAAAATGTGAGCTGGGCTATAGGATATGGAGTTGCCACTACATGCATAGGTCTTGCTTTGATAGGATTTCTGGTGGGAACACCAATATTCCAACAAGATGAGCCTTGTGGTTCTCCAGTGAAGAGTATTTTCCAGGTTATTGTTGCCTCTTTTAGGAACATGACCTTGGAAGTACCTGCTGATAGCTCTCTTCTGTATGAGGTCAAGAGCAACCACATACAAAGGACAATACTTGCTCACTCCGATGATTTTAGGTACATCTTTTTTCTTTACTTACCATGAAACACTTGTATATATGTTTTTTTTCCTGTTTCTCCTGATCATTTTTTTAAATCTTCTTGAAACAATCATGCCACTGGTGGTCAATTGTTGATTTCTTAATGATTTCTGGAGTACCCATCATATATATACTTTCAGGATGTTCAATCTACAAAATGTATATATCTATCTCATGGATCCCATGATTTGAACCTAGTAATAAATAACTGTTCCTGAAACATGAAAACCAATGAGAATTACCTTTTCATTTGGTTGGTGTTCCCAACTTCCCTTTCTATCCTGCACTTATTTAACTGTCTATCTAATTCCATCATTTTGTCTCAGGTTCTTATATAAGGCAGCAGTTATTTCTGATCCAAGCTTGGTGTATGGAGGGTGTCGAAGCTCATGGAGTTTATGTACGGTTACTGAAGTTGAGGAACTGAAAATACTTATCCACTTACTCCCAATATGGGTGACTGGAATATTCTTTGCTGCTGCGATCTCTCAAATGCACACCACTTTCATTCAGCAGGGAGCTGTGATGAACACCAAGATTGGTTCCCTGTCCATTCCACCAGCATCCTTGTACTCATTTGAAGTGATATGTGTCACGCTCTGGGTACTTTCTATGAACAAAGTGCTTGTGCCGGCAACCAGAACGTATTTTGCAAATGGAGCAGAGCTCACACAGTTACAGAGGATTGGAATCGGTCGTTTCCTGATGATCTTTGCCATGGCAATGGCCGCACTTCTAGAAACCAAGAGGCTGCAGAGTGTTCAGGAGGGGGAACTGCTAAGCATTGTATGGCAGCTTCCACAGTACTTCGTCATTGCTGGGGCTGAGTGCTTCGCAGTCATCACTCAGCTGGAGTTCTTCCATGGCCAGGCCCCAGACTCCATGAAGAGCGTATTAACAGCATTCGCGTTGCTCACCACTGCCCTTGGGAATTACTTGAACTCAGCTATCATCACGCTCATTGCATGGGTGACCAGGGTATGGCATAGCCCTGGATGGATACCGGATCATCTGAACAAGGGACACCTTGATTACTACTACTGGTGTCTTACAGCCCTCTCGTTGGTGAATTTTGTTGTGTATCTGTATTTTGCTAGTAAATACAAATTGAAGAAAATTGTTATCTGCTAATACTACTTGTGAAATATCACCATGTGTAACATATGAAATGTTTATTTTTGTTCTTTATATGTATAGCAGTATAGGCCATGGAAGGACCTTATTTCCCCAAAATATCGTCCCTTGTTTTTCTCATATCTCGAGCCTTTTTCGTTTCTCATTAATTTCATTTCCTGTTGAAAGAAGAAAAGTGATGGCCAGGCCCAGAAATGCCTTTGGCATGCAAGTGAGGAATTCATTTGCTAATGTACTTACTTTGGTAGTGTTCGTGTTCTTTTTCCCTCCTTTTTATTTGTAATAGTTGTATACAGCTATGGGCAACAATGACTTTGGATAAAGCACAACAATGAGCTTTGGCTCAAGCACAACTACAGCACGTCATCAGCTCGCACTCATGAGCTCGGCTCAGCTTTATCAATTTTCATAGAAGATACAACTACAGCATCGCCTCCCTCCTCCATGGCGGGCCGGCCTCTGATCGACATCCGAGCCCCTCGCCAGCCCACGCCTCGCCTCTGCCTCCTCAATAAATAAATATTCAAATGTGCGAACGAGAGCTCGGCACATGGTAAAAATTACAATTTATCAATTTCCATAGCTCGACGTCGTAGGTCTTGGGTCCGATAAATCATCATATCATCATGGCCTGGACTCGTGTGCTCGCCTCCTACTCCATGGCATGGCGGCCGGCCTCCTGATCGGCTGCTGCTGATCCGGGCAGCGCCCCTCGCCAACCCACGCCTAGCTCGGCCTAAGATCCACGACGCCGAGCTCATGCCATATTCGCGCTATATGCCCAATAAATAAATATTCCTCTAAACCCAAAAACTTCACCTCTACAATCAATTGTTTCAACTTTTCCAATAGTTGTTACGCCCTTCTACAATTCTTGCATAATATTAAGTTTAACCATATTGTATATTTCTGTCCGTTTTTCCTCAACCTTACACTAAGATTACTCTGGTTTTGCAAGATTATGTTTCCGTCTCTCTTATATATTAGCAACAATATTTCTTCTAGCTATCCTTTTTAAGTGCAAAAAAAGAATTAAATTATTTTTGGGTTTAAATTAAAACATACGCCACAAGAAAAGCTTCGATTTTCTTTTAAACATATTTTTTATTCTGCATATAATTTTAAAATAAATATTTTTTAGAATCGAAATCCAGTCTACTAGACATAAAGTGATTCAGATTCCTGAAACTTTTTAAGAGAATTCAAACCTAAAACAGATATTCACTTTAATCCACTTGGATAATTTCTAATTCTATAAAAATTGTCGGATCTCATTTTTCCTGATCCCTATCAAATTGCGGTTGCACTGCCTTGCCGTCAATAATTCACTTTCAAAACTCTGATCTGGTACACCTCCAAACAAAATTTGGGAAGATGTACTATATTGACCAATTGACCAACTAACAAGTAAAAAAAAACTTGTCATTTTGCCATAACTTTTCCAATCGAATGTGGCCTTCTACAATTCAATGACATAAGTTTATATTTGTTCGTGCAACGTGTCCTACGTTCGAGCAACCCTAGTTTTGCAAGATTATGTTTCCAGTCTCTCTTATATGCAACAAAGTTTCTTCTAGCTATTACAAACGAGTGGGAAAAGATGGGGTGTTAGAGGTCCCACTCATAGCCACAAAAAATCCGTACTAAGCTCAATTTGCTTACGTCTACTGTGGACAAATCTTTGAAACAAAAACTCTTTTTTTTTTGTTTTGACTAGTGGATGTGCATTCTATCATTATGACAAGCTTCAGACCTATGTGCTCGACGAAAGTTTTGGTTAGTAGATGTCATGCTTATGTAAGAGGGTTATAAGGAAGAAAAATAAGCATACACAAATCCCAAAACAGAGAAAATGTAAGAAAGACATCTTACGAATTTTTGTTTGGACCGAGACATCAATGCTAGTCAGATCGGGTTAGTGAATTATGACAGTTAGTGCCCGTTTGATAGGGATCAAGATTTTTATAGAATTATTTTAGGTCTGAATTCTCTTAAAAAAGTTTCAGGAATTGGAATAAATTTATGAGATCGTTTGTCTCGTAGGCTGCACCTCCAAAAGTAATGTGCATGTATAATAACCTAGTACTATATTGACCAATCTTCCTCTAAACCCAAAAACTTTACCTCTGCAATCAATTGTTTCAACTTTTCCAATAGTTGCTACTCCCTTCTACAATTCTTGCATAATATTAAGTTTAACCATATTGTATATTTCTATGTTTTTTTCTAGTTATACACTAGCAACCCTGGTTTTGCAAGATTATGTTTCCCGTCTCTCTTATATATTAGCAACCATATTTCTTCTAGCTATCCTTTTTAAAGTGCAAAAAAATTAAATTATTTTTATTTAAATTACTCATAGCCACAAAAAATCGATTTTCTTAAAACGTATTTTTATTTATATATATAAAAAATGCGGGTCTGAGTCGAGAGAGCGTCGTCCCCTCTCTTGGCGAGCCTTCCTGGTCATAGAGGCGGATTTTATAAATAAATATTTTTTTGGAATCGAAATCCAGCCTACTAGACATAAAGTGATTCTGATTCCTGAAACTTTTTTAAGAGAATTCAAACCTAAAATAATTCTATAAAAATCTTGATCCTATCAAACGGGCACTAACTGTCATAATTCACTAACCTGATCTGACTAGTATTGATGTCTCGGTCCAAACAAAATTTGGGAAGATGTCTTTCTTACATTTTTCTCTGTTTTGGGATTTGTGTATGCTTCTTTTTCTTCCTTATAACCCTCTTACATAAGCATGACATCTTGTAACCAAAACTTTCGTCGAGCACTTAGGTCTGAGCTTGTCATAATGGTAGAATGCACATCCACAAGTCAAAACAAAAAAAAAAAAAGAGTTTTTGTTTCAAAGATTTGTCCACAGTAGACGTAAGCAAATTGAGCTTAGTTCGAGCATGCTGGATTTTTGCCCGTCCACCAGCTTTAGTGGACAGGACTGGATAGAGGTCCAGCTGTCAAAAAAAAAAATTCTCAACCTGAAGTATTCTTTTGTTTGTTCTCCAACTTTTTTTTTCTGAGCAACTTTTGTTTTCCAACAAAAAACAGCGGACGAACCGCACAGTCCTAGGCTGAGCCCGATCCCGACCCAAAAATCACAGGCCCAACTCACCCATGGAACAGTCATGGACTGGATTTTTCGACCAAAAATAACCAGCCTTCTTTTTGGTCCGACATGGCCTAAAAATACTCAGATCTAGTCCACATTTGTCCAAATCGGAAAGGCATACGCCGCTTAGGCCATGGGCTCACTTTGAAATGATATTGGGCCGTCAATTTCACAACCTTCGAACAAATTTTGTTGCCGTCCTGGCACCATCATTGTCCGCCTACATGGGCCTTCATTGAACTGGAGTCTGGACCGGGTAAGGCCTTCACGTCTGAGGTCCCACGGCGCCGACGCGTCTCGGTCGTTGCATGAGGACCTGCCACCTGCCTGCTGTTCCTCTGAATGCCCTCTGCCATTGCGACGCTAGACTAGACTAGTGTGGTGTAGGAATCCAGTGACTAAAATTTAGGAGGTGTATTAGTAGAATATTGCATGGGGTGTTTAGATACTAATAAAAAAACAAATTATATAATCCGTTAGTACTTCACGAGACGAATTTTTAAGCCTATTTAATCCGTCATTAGCACATATTTACTGTAGCACCACATTGTCGAATCATGAACTAATTAGGCTTAAAAGATTTATCTCGCAAATTAGTCGTAAACTATGCAATTAGTTTCATAATTAGTCTATATTTAATACTCAATGCATATGTCAAACATTCGATGGGATAGCAACTAAAATTTAGAAGGGTAACAAACACCACCTAGATCGACCAGACATGGTGCAGCGAGCGGGATTGCACATCGTGCTCGAAACCGAGAGGTATCACCCCTACGCACGCCCGACACACTTACACCGCCAGTTGTTCTGATGCTGCTGCGAGATGCATGCGTCAAAGTTTCATTTCATCAGGTGCTAGGCGCCATCCATGACTCCCTCAACTCAACTGAGGGCCTGTTTAGTTCCACCCAAAACGTAAAATTTTTTGCGTAGTATCTCACCACATCGAATCTTGCGGCACATGTATGGAGTATTAAATGTAGACGAAAAAAAAATTAATTACACAGTTGGGTGAGAAATCGCGAGACGAAACTTTCGAACCTAATTAATTCATAATTAAACTAATTGCCAAATACAAACGAAAGTGCTATAGTATCAAAACCAAAAAAATTGCCAACTAAACAGGCCCTGAAACCAAACCAAAGCCAGTCAAAGTTCACCGTGAAATCATTACGCTACTCGACCAACCCTGGTTATAAATCTGGAATCTCCCTGCCTTCATTTCATCGACTGTTCGTTGTTGGAATTATCCGGAGGAACAGAGGCTAGCGCCGTTGCTGTCTGATCCGATGATACGATCTGCCGCCGTCGTAGTCTGGCGTCGATAATTGACTGGATGTCACTTCTGTATGACTCGGAAGAATGGACGCAACGCAACAGTGGAATTTACTCCACAGTACCGCACAGTTTGCTTGCAATCCACGATGGCGAATTTGAGACGCATCCAGCCGACAGTAGGATCTGTCTGCACTTCCATTCCGTACTCCCAGCCATCCTGTGCAGTACAAGTATTACACTATTACCTATAGAACGCAATTCTCACTTTTCATGGAGTCGAGCAGCTTAAATTTTAACCAAAATTCAGATCCTATAATTGCATTCTTTTTTAGACGGAGGGTACTGCTCCTACGTCCTGCCTGGAAACTTCAGAAAGATGAGAACGTAGCAAGTCGGCAGAAGTGACAGAGAACCAGAAATTCTTTGAACAGTACAACCTTGCAACAAAATTTGTCAAAAATTGTTGCAGTCCTCCCATTCTACGGCTTGCAGGACTAAAAAGGTGAGTGGATGGATGGGACGGTGACGGCCGCGGCCAGAACCACAAGGTTTGGCAAGGGCTTGTTTAGATGTAAAAAATTTTTGCAA